AAACCGGAACAGTTGAGCGAATTCAAACCCGGAACTCCGACAGGTGTCCCATCCCAAGAAGGGCGGCGACGTGGATTGGCAGCTCTTTTCACACTATGGTGGCCCTCTGTGGACAGCCCAAGGCTTCTCGAGCGCGAGGTCTTAGTGCAGGGCTTGTGCGGAGTTGGTTTTTGCAAAAATGTTGGCAGGCCTGCTGCTGGTGGACCACTCCATGGGACGCTTCCGGCAGGACTGAGACTAAGAGCCAGGGGGGATTTTGGACTTTGGTGCTCCGTTCTTGTGATTCAGGCCCTGGAGCTGACGTCCAAGGACTGCACGTGGCGCAGCCGCACCGGAGATAAGGACTGGGCGGCTCTGAAGGCGAAGGGCCAGCACAGCATCTCCCTGCTGGAAGATGAAGAGTTCGTCACGGGCTTTGAGTACATCAGCTCACGCAAGATCGTGCTGCGCAAGAAGGCCAACACCAAGCATGGTGTGAAGGACGTCCTGGTGCTGAACGCCATCTGCAAGCCCAGCGGCATCAACCTCCGCGTGACTTTGCAGGACTCCACTGCTGGAGATTTCATGAAGGGTCAGATCGAGTATGGCAATGGCAGGAGGCACAAGACGTACCAGCACAGGGAGGGCTGGGCCAAGGTGGGCGGCAGGCAGGAAAGCGCCACCTATCTGGACAGCCTCGAGTCAACGAAGCTGGGCAACACCAACGCCCTGATTAGCAAGGCGTGCGATGAGCAAGCAGAGGCCAAGGCCCACAAGATCTGTGCCAAGCACCTCGGAGAGCACTTCGGCACGGCCAAGGGCTTGTCAGCAAGCATCTTTGGAGACTGCATCTCGGATGTCTGCCGGGGCGGCGAGGAGTTTGCCGTGGCTGCGAAGGAGCTGGTAAGCTTGAACTAAGGCCCAAAGCTGCCGCAAATTTTGTTTAGCATTAGAAAAGTGTAAATCGTTTGCAGGCTGCCCAAAGGCTGTCAGCCGGCCTCATGTGCCTGTTTCTCGAGATCCACTCCTTCCCAAGGAAAGTGCTGTGGATGTCGTTCTGCCAATGGCTTTTACAGGCCTTGAAGTGTCTTCCCTTAGAAGGCACAACTGGTAGGAGGTCGTGAGTAAGGATTTTGGGAGAGCTACATCGAGCCTCCAAGTTCAAAAGACAGCTGCGCCTCCAGCCGTGCATTCAAGCACTTGATTGACGCGCCCCAGCGACCGTAATGGGGAATGACATGTTAACTTGAACACCTTTAAGATCTTTAAGTATCTTCATTGAGGAGCCAGAGCCGGCCTACCTCGTCGTGCTTCAGAACCTCTTCCCAACAGGCCGCATGCCGGTGTCTTTTGCTGGGCACAT